GAATTCTATCAATGACATGCTCTCATTTACCCTTGAAAATAGTAAAGGAAACAGTGGCTCAGGCCTGTTCCTGCTATTCAGCACCCCTGCCTTGTGTACTGTGTAGTATCTTTGAGCCCGTACACTGGCCACACACCATACACCTATGTATGTGACTGCAAAAACAACCATGTTTCCTTGTGTGATAAATGTGTAAGTCTGTGTTATTAATATCTAGACACCCTGGGGTAAAAAGTAAGAAATTTGCAAACAAATAAAAGAAGTCAAAAATTTATAAATTTATATTCATAATTTCCATCTGGACCGGTAAGAATTCAGCAGATTTTACATGGGTCAATATTAGCATTTCTGATTCTAAAATTTTCAAGCAGTGAGGAGCTAATTATGAGGTGGGTGGACTGTAGCCATAGAAAAGAACTGCTAACTCGGGTGCATAGAGCACCAGCCTCTACAGAATCTGGCAGGAGCTGGCCTTGTGTAGACAAAGGGCAGATGAGAGGGCCCATATCTCTAACTTACTAGGCACTGCCAATCTAACTTCACACAACCTTCATCTCACAGATTTTATGTTGTTTTGCTCTTCTTCTGACAGAAGCAGAGTGAGAAACAGGTCATCTACTTCTAGTAATTGACTCTCTTGGTAGCCTGGCTTCTGTTGTCAGTGGGTCTATTAGCAACTTGCACGTCACCATGACCAAATTACCTGGCCCAGAGAACTGAGGAGAGAAGAATCATTTTGCACATGAATTCAGAGACTTTCAGTCAGTTGATCATAGTGGGCAGGCCTGGTGGGCAGCTCTGTCCCTGGAAGCGGAACTGTCAGGTAAAGGCTGTCCCCATCACCATGAACCTGGAGGCAGAGTGGCCGGAACAAGAGGCAGCTGTAACCTTGAAAGCCCTGCCCCTGGTAACCAACCCCACCCGCAAAGTTCCACAGTCTCCCAAAATGTCACCAAGGTCTAGGGAACAAATGTTCAAAACTTGAGCCCGTAAGGATGGTGACTTTTCAAAACCACACTACAATGGGGGAAAAGTATAAGTTTTATTTCCCTTTGTCCATCAGAAGTCTCAGGAATGGACAATTTCCTGTGCTTGATGTATCCATAGCAAGGGGAGCTTAAATCCTATGAGGGTCCTCCCCCCAGATCGTCAGGAAGTCAATTTGGAAAGACATTATGGTTTCCATCTTAGTCCAAGACTCCTTGGAGGAAGAAGTGACTTGCACCCGGAAAGGCATCTCTCTGAGGACTTTAGAAACAGATCTGTTCCTTCTTCTGTCCTGGCATTGGGATGGACGGAGGGCAGAGAGGAAAAAAAAAGAGTATGAAATACATAGACAAGGCTTTGGTCCCTGCTGTGCCGCCGCTCGAAAGAACTTCCATTCTTCGGACCCTCCTGGTTCCTGCCTAAAAACTACCAAAGGCCTGTGCCTGCCTTGTGGGGTTGGTGTGAGAACAAGCCATCAAAAATACAAAGGACTTGGCTTCAAACTGGCAATCCCAAATGGAACATGTACAGAACAAAGGTAGTCCTTGGGACCATGGAGGAGACAGGTCCTCCCCAGCTGGACTGGACGTTGAATGCTTTGTAAATTCTTTGGTCCCTCCACTGGGGCAAAAGGGCTGAAGACAGATGGAAGAGGGATGCGTGTTTTCTGAAGAGATATAGTGAGCCAAGTACTTGATCACTTGGACCATACTTAAGTAGCTCTTGGGCCAGGCAGGGAAATTTGAGCAGAACTCTGAACCAGGATATGACACTGTGGTGCCAGGGGCTAACCTTGGAAAAGTACATTTCAGGTGTTTATTGAGAACTCCAACGACTTTTGATGACCATGGCAGCTCAACTACAGTTCAGGACTGGTACCCCTGCCCAGAATACAAAGTAGAGTAAGCCCCGGACCTAACCCCAGCCCCAATCCTGGCCTGCAAACAATGGAGAGCTAAGAAATGGGGACCGCAAGCTACCAGGGTGGGAGCCATGTCTGTTTTGTTTAGCATTGAATGCTTGGTTCTATGCCAAATGCCCACCTAAAATGACTCATGGGTGTTTTTTTTTTTTTTTAATAAAGTGTGTCAAGAATTGTTAGGTAAAGTAGATATGAAATATACTCTGAAACCTCACAGGTTGGAGAGGCACCAACAGGTTCACAGAGGAAATCAGAGAAGATCAAATGAAATACCACGTGATTGTAAGTAAATCAGAGCAAGGCAAGACGTTTTGTCAAAGTGCAGAGGTGAGCCTTGGTACAGGGGAGAGAACACATATCCTCAGACCAATGCACAGAGGTCTAGTCACACCAAGCTTGCATGTGATGGGGAATGAATCGGGGGCGGGGGCATTGCCAGTGACCCCTGGGGAGAAAGCTGGGGCTGTAGGGCTTCATTTTGGAGACAACATCAAAATGGGAAAGCAAAAGTTTTATTTCTCCTTTGTCCCAGCCTTCAGCATCCTCACCCTGTTCTTGTTGGATGTTTTCCTCAACACTGACTATCATGCCAGGAGTCTGGTGGGCACTGGAAATGTGCTGTGCGGATAAATAAGAGAGCAAACTTGGCAGGCAGGAGAAAAAGAGGACCCATGGCTACTTTCAATAACCAAAGAACTATGCACGCTTCCAGGTGCTTTACACAACCCTGCTTTCGGACAACTTCCACAAGTGGACAGACTGCTGGAGTTTCAGGCACGTAAAGATCAACGGGATTAAGCATGCTTCACCAAGTCAGCAGCTGCCCCAGTGAGGAGGTGGAACGAGAATCCACTGGAAGTACTGCATTCCTGGATTCAGGCATTCCCATGACTGCCTCGGGACTTCACCCACGCTCACTGGGATCCCCACGTGATAGGGCAGGGCAGGGCAGAGGCTGTGGCTCCGGTCATCCCACACTGTAATTCCACCTGAGTACCTCTGGTCGGCATTCTTGGGTACGAAGATTATGTACAAAGAAATTCGTGGAAACCCCGGGATATCGCAGGGGACAGCTAGAGCAGTTAGTTACTTGGTGAGTGCTGGCCGGGAGGCTGGTCCTGAGTTGCTGGGCTTGGGACAGTTGTCCCATCAACCTTGAGTGCAACGGCCCCTAGCGGTGGCAGTGCACAGCAGAGCCATAGCTGCTGCTCAGGACACTAAGGAAGCAAGGGTTGCTTGATTTTTTGGTGGGTGGGGTGGGGTGGGCAGTGGGGTGAGGGGCTGTATTTCTTTTTTAAGACAAAGAACACTAAAAAGACAATTAATACAGACAGACAAGGCCTCGCAGAGACAAGACGGGAAGGCAACCAGGCAGGGAAGTGATTTTGAGAGAGCTTTCCAGCAATAAAGAGCACAGTATGGCAACACTTCCGTTGTCACTAAACTCTGCAGTAGTTACAAGTTGATGGTGAGGAGTGAGAGGCTGTGGTCTTAAGCCCTTTTTGTGACGAAGGAGCTTTTCAGGATCCATTCCTGAGCCTCTCCACTTAAGCAAACTGGACAATGAACTTTGTTCAGAGGTTCTGACTAACGGCCAGTGCCAACCGGAGACACAAATGGATTTCCTTCTCCTTTTAATACGGTAAAATGGAGTAAGCTAAATAGCACCGAAAAATGAATAAACAAATGCTAAGGAGCAGGAAGGTGTGGAAAAGCAGGGAAATCGCTGACCCAGGGATGGAAGACCAGGGCTATCGTCAGGCTCGTCACCTCAAACAAAGCCTCTTCTCCCTTCCTCCTTATTCATGAAAGGCTAGATGTACCACATAACTTGGAGGACCTTGGCGAAGAGGCCACATAAGGCTCCATGTGGCTGCTTCCTGAAGGCGCAGAGGGAAAGGCGCTGCTCTCAGTATCCCCCATTGCTGTCACAGAGCCTTAGTGTAACACAGGCTGCCTTGTGAGCTCTGAAGGGGATGACACTACCTGACAGCCCCAAGGGAAAAGTCAGCTAATATGCTGAAGACGACAGCAGCAGTGATTGATGCTAATTAAGGAAATTACGCAACGGCCACCTGTAATAACACACAAGAAAAAAATTTTTTTTTCCGAGACAGGGTTTCTCTGTGTAGCTTTGCGCCTTTCCTGGAACTCACTCTGTAGCCCAGGTTGGCCTCGAACTCACAGAGATCCGCCTGCCTCTGCCTCCCGAGTGCTGGGATTAAAGGCGTGCGCCACCACCGCCCGGCCAGAAAATATTTTTTACCTTATGGTATTAATCTCTATTTTTTAGGACAGTGTTGTCTATTGACCCAGGATAGGGCACTGAAGACAGACAAAAGGAATTAATCAGTTCACGTCTAGCTTGGTGAAGCAATGAGAAGCTTCTTAGGGTTACACACAGGAGCAGGACTGACTCAAAGGCAGCTCTGCACCTCCAGAAGGCCCGCCTTAGCAGCCTCATCCCTGAACTCCTTGCAGGACTTGTGGGCAGCCTAAACGGTTGGAGAACTCATCACCTGAGTTGTCTGTTATCCTGAATTCCCTGGTCTGTTGCTTATGATTTTGACTAGTGGGTCAGTTCATAATTTAAATCTGTCTCTTGTGTAGCTATTTCTTCTGAGTTGACATATTCTTTCCTGGAGGGAAAAGGTTGGCTGATAGATTCGGGAAGTAAAGGAAATTTACAAGGTTCAGAAAGTAAACAAAACTTACAAGGCTGAAGAAGTTCCTGAAACAAGATTCACAAGGCCTTTTCCTGAGGTTATACAAGCAGTAACCAATTATCAAGGCCCTGGGTTAAGGGGGAGTTCACCAGTGTGACCAATAAATGTTAGATACTTAAAAAAAAAGATTCAATGTATTTTATTTTTTGTATATGAATGTTTTGCCTAGATGGATGGATGTGTATTGTGTATGTAGTGCCAGCAAGGCCAGAGGAGGGTATTGGATGCCCTGAGGCCAGAAGAAGGTCACACATCTCCCAGAACTGGAGGTATAGATGGTTGTGAGTCATCATGTGAGTGCTGAGAATCAAACCTGGGTCCTCTGCAAGAGCAACCAGTGTTCTAAATTGCTAAGCTATCCTCCCACAAGTACAGGATGCGTCATGAGTCTGCCTGTCGTCCTGTGCAGCGGCCATGTTAGTCTTCTCTGTATCATTTCAGTTCTATGCGCTGTCCGAACAAATGAGCACCGCAGACTTCATTTCAATCAATTTATTTTTTATTAAAATAATAAAATATTGTAGAATGGGAATCAATGATAGAAGCTTACTATTTACAGTTGTCACAGCCAAGAGTTCTCAGATTAAGGTGTTGCAGATTAAAGGCCTTGAGGACTATTCTATTCTCACTACTATTCAAAAGGTGAAGGAGTGAGGAAGCTTCTTTCAGAAGGGCATTCATCTCCTTCAAGAGATACCCATCTTATGGAATCACCTGCAGAAGATTCCCCTCTCCCCCAGTCACCTTCAGGGTTCAGTTTCTGCATATAAACGGGGGTGAGGGATGAATACATAAGGCATTAGAATACTGCATTCAAATATTTCCCTCCACTCACAGCTCTGGACCTAACACCTAGTGACTGGGCATTATTTGTGTCTGTCACTGTGGCAGACTATTTGGCACGCACAGATTATTTAATTCGCCCCACAAACCTGTCCCACCTTGCTACAGTCGATTACCCCACTTTACAGTAGAGGAAACTGATGTCTTGAGAGACTAACTTTCCCGGGGCCCCATAGCCAACAGACAGAATTCAAATTAGAACAGATAACACAATCACTACCTATGCTGGGTAAAGAACACCATGAGGCCCTGGAAAATGATACTGCTGCTTCAAATACTTTGGCAAACAATCTCGATATTTCCACACAGAAATTCTACTCCAGAGTAGAGAAAATTCTCAAAAATTTACACAAGTATATGCATGCAGCACTGTTACAGAGATTTTGTCCATAAAACAAAAGAGACACGTGGAGCCGGGCGGTGGTGGCGCACGCCTTTAATCCCAGCACTCGGGAGGCAGAGCCAGGCGGATCTCTGTGAGTTCAAGGCCAGCTTGGTCTACAGTGCGAGATCCAGGAAAGGCGCAAAGCTACACAGAGAAACCCTGTCTCGAAAAACCAAAAAAAAAAAAAAAAAAGAGACACGTGGACTAAATGCCCCAAAATACATTTGACAGGACAGATAAGAAAAATTATGACCCAGGGATGTTTACAGCAGTAAACACGGTCCATTCACAATATAGCAAATGAGTCAAAAATAAGTTACCTCAAGAAAGATACCACCTTAAAAGAGTCAGAGCAAGCAGATCTAACAATAAATATTTGTACATGGAAAAGGTCAAAAACCAAAACAAAACAGAGAAACCCCACCTCAAGTGAAAAGTAGGAGCGAAACTCCAGCAGTTTCCTTTGTGGATGGGCAGGTGGGACACGAAGGAAGCTGTGAGAGGGCTGAAAACATTCCAGTTCTTAAACTGGGTGGTAGAATGCATGGGCTGCTTTGTCACGCTTTGTGGTTCACATATTGTAGGTTAGATGTCATATTTTGAACAAAGCATGTATCACATACTTTAAACCACTGTTTAAAGAGTGACCATTAATGGGGATGGAGAGATGGCTCAGAGATTAAAAGCACTTGCTAATCAGCTCACAACCATCTATAAGTCTAGTTCCAGGGGATCCAGTGCCCTCTCCTGGCCTCTGCAGGCACCAGGCATGCACGCACGTGGTGTACTTATATACAAGTAGGCACTTAAACACCCATACCTATAAAATAAAAATAAATAAATCTTTTGTTTTTTACAGTTACTATTGAGACTTAGCTGCAAAGTTAGATGGGTGTATGAGGAGCTTCCTCTTCCTGCCCCCACCCCAGGCATGGACGCCTACATAAGTACAAAGGAAAACCACAATTCCAGGTGCATGGCTATGATTAACCAGGCCTGTTTTTCTGGCCCCTCCGAACGAAAGGACTACCTGGGGCTCTGGAGCCTGGACAAATAATCCTGGCAGCACAGCCAAGCAGATGAAGAAGATGTAGGCCACCCACACAGCAATCAAGAGTTCCTCTGGGCGGGCCAGGAAATCACCATTGTCCCTGCTCTGTATCAGCGCTAGGCCACTAACCTAGCCGCAGTAGGGGCAGCATCAGTATCAGTGTGCAAGCAGGCCCTGGGCCCAGTGGGCCAGCAAACCCCACCGTCAGGTCAACACCCACATGTTCCAGCTGCAGCAACGCCAGAGAGTGCACAATCGCACACAGGAGAGCTAAAACATAATTACCTCACGAAAATGGGCCGCTAAATCTCACTGGCCCTGAGTGTGAAGAAGACAGATACATGGGCGAAAGTGCGAGATGAACTGGAGGGATCTGGGAGTGCCTGGCAGGGTCACCTGGGTGGCCAGAGACTCTGGATCCTCCTGGGCAGTGTGAAACCCAGATCTCAGCTTCTACAGAAAGGTCTGCATTTGGGGAACCTTAACTCTTGTTTAGGGGACACTTGCCTTATCTTGGTGACTTCCAGTCTGCCCACGCATGGCTACCTGAACCAGCTGTGACACATGACAGTCACTTCCCTGGTGGAACTCAGAACTGGAACCAGGGAGATCTAAGGACCAGAGGGCGGCTACTCCCGCAGAACTACAGTTGCCACTCTGTAAAGGAGGCCCCTACAAGTGCCAGTCTCCCTTCCTCTTCTGGAAGTTTGCATAGGACCTGGGCTTTGTTGGGGTGCAGTCCAGCATCACCCCTTACACAGACAATTCTATACTCAACCCCAGAAATCGCCACTGCTCCTGCTAGGAGCTCTCCAGAGAGGAAAGTCTTGGTTGCTCATCTCTTTTGGAAGGCTTTGAAATAAATCATGACTCCGACATGCTCCTGGAGTGCTCACCACCTTACGAGGAGTGAGTGGCCACGCCTCACCTCGCGGTCGGCTCTCTAGCTGGAGAACAGTCTGACAATTAGCACAGCTTAGTCAGGAAGGAGCTAAGCTAGCTCGTGTCTCAGAGCCCTCGCACGTTAAGGGTGTCAAGACTAATGATCTATTTTCCTTTCCACATTAGAAAACAGATAAACGCTAACCAACTGGTGTCATTGAGTGTCAGCAACACGACTCAAAACATGTAGAATGCTTACTGTAGGCACTGCTTAGGCAAGGGGATAGAGAAAGAAAAAATCGAAAAGGCGAGAAAGAAGAGGGAGCCTACCCCAGCTCCAACCCACGCACAGCACCCTGCTTGTGGTCCATCGCCCTGAAAATCAGGAAACACCAAGCCCAAGGGGAGGGTTAATTGCTCACTCCAGGTCCACTAGCTTTCTTGACATCTCAACTGTATGCCTCTGACTTCACAGGCAGCTTTTGCTTTCAGGGACAGATCTGTTTCTATGCATGATTCAAAGCTGCTGGTTCCTCGGATAAGTTCAGAAGTGCAGAAGATGACGAGAAGCATTCTAATTACAAGCGATTCAGCCTGGCACACAGAACTCTCCACCTGTCCAAGTCCCAGACTTCTGACCCTCTCCAAGATGGCCATCTGCTTCTGCAGCAGCAGCATGGGGAGGGGCTACCCATGCAAGTTCCCACAGAGAGAGAGAGAGAAATTTGGGCCAAATGCTTAGTACTAACAAGGTTTTAGTTCTGTTGAGATATTCAGTGGCTCTGGTTTCGGAGCAGGGGAAAATGGGGTAGTGTGAGGGAGCTGACAGAACCCGATTTCAGTCCATCTTGATGGAATGTGGGAGTTACAAAGGCCACTCTTGTTCCCCGCAGGTTTTCTGGTGCAGGCCAGGGTGGGCTGGCTGTTACAGTCCTCTGAAAGGACCTAACTGGGTTCCTGTGTTGGCTTTCCTTGAGTGGCAGGCCACCCCAGAAGCCTCTGAAAGGAGGCCCTGAAATGTTAAAAAGTGAGTTGGCAATCCCTTCCTTCCAGGCTGCCAGGCCAGAGAAGAGGTGGGGGCATTGTTGCTGGAGGCACAGAAAAAGGGGGAGTACAATGTCTGCTTGGTGTCATGAGTCAACTGGTAAAGTGCCCCCAGTGGTGACCCCACAGGTCAAAGGTCAGGCAAAGGGCGAGAAGATGGGCAAGGAGGGCACGGTGGTGCAGCACTGGTCTGGAAGGCAGACATGGCCTAGCCAGGCTGCCACAGCTATCAGGGATCCTAGGCACCCCCTCTGGTGAGGCAAGGGTTGGCTATTTCATCCTGTAACAGAACCTTGGCGGCAGTAACTTGACATTTGAGCCTCCATGGCATGGCACCTGGCTAATGGCTCAGGGTACGTGCTCAGCAGACTTGGGAACTATGAGCACACAGCAGTGAAACTGTGAAGTTTGGGTTCTGCTCACTCCTCTGCTAACCACTCAAGTTCTATGAAAGTTTCTCTGAGGCTACTGGGTATGGATGAAATTCAGTTTTACAGTAAGCTCGGGCTCAGGATTAGAGATGGGTTTAGAACAAGCACAATATCCACCACACGAGAAAAGTGCTTCCCTATTTGTTAAAAAAAACAAAGTCAAAACCAAAAAAAAAGACAAACAAAAAACCAAAAACCAAGAAAAGAAGAAGGAAGAAGAAGAAGAAGAAAGAAGGAAAGAAAGAAAGAAAGAAAAAAAGAAAAGAAAAGAAATCAAAAAACAACCCACATAGAAGGAGACTGGCACACCCAGTTATAACTGGGATTCATATTTTTCCTTAAAAAAACAAAAACAGAAAACAGAACAAATCTTCCCCTGGGAGCTGAAAGCAGTGTGGCACATATACAGTACCTTCTCATTAGCGTGAGGGAGAACCACAGCTTTAAGATCAAGCCATTCAGTGAACAGAAGAAAGAGTAGCTCATCTCCCGTGCGTACGACACCAGGAACCTTTAGAGATTAGAGCGTGAAACCCCAACAGAGTTGGTGGAATCCAAGTGCCCACCCATGGAGGGAAGGAAGGAGAAACACCCAGTGTGCCTGGAACCCCAACACGCCGTGAGGACCTGGCTCGATTTACCAGCGGATGAAAGAGCTGGCACTGCCAGCCGCTCACTGAGCTGTGACTGGCCTCGCTGGCAAGTGCGCCGTGGAAGAGCTGTGGACTTGGAGGAGTGAGAGACACGGCAGGGGCATGACAAAGGACGCTCAGCCTCGCTCATCAGTCTTGGTAAGCAGATGTCATCGCCATACTCCCTTGTTGAAAGCATTAACAGCAAA